ACCCCACTGGTGTTCCTGGAAGAGGTGATTCACATTCACTCCTTGGCTTTGGCAGCAGCCATTGCCTCCAGTAGCAGAAGATACTGAAAGGATCATTTTTCACAGACAAATTCCACTGGTGGTTGGTGAGCAGAAGCTCCTTCTCACCTGTTGTGCATCCCAAAGCCTGATTCCATCATCCATGGTGGGAATTTTTGGAATATGCTTCTAAGGAGGCTTTATTCTTCACTCAGTGCTGGTATTTCCTGTGCCTGTGTTACCTGATTTGCTTTCCAAAAAGAAGAATGATATAAATATTTTAAAACTTTTAAATTAATCAGGTTAGATGGGTTAAAAATATTCTTTAGTATTTCCACTCTCTGTGAGTAGTGGATATAAGTGGTTAACCTAAGAAATTGTATCAATTTTAAATCTTCTGTAGCTGCTGTTGATTAGACTGTAAAATAAAACCATTTTGTCTAAATTTTATTTGTTTAGTTTAAAAAACAGGAATTAAAAAAAACAAAACAAAACACTAGCTATAAATACATTGGCTATTGAGTCCTGATGGCCCTGGTAGGAGCAAGTGGAAAGGTTGTACTCTAGATATTTTTCACATCAATGGCATTTGGAAAATTTTATGTTAATAAAATGTTAATAAAATTGAAACGTGAGCTGCATTTTTACAGAGTTTGCAATTTCTCCTGGTTATATAATTCAAACCCAGTGTCTCTTCAAATCTCAGAGTTGCTGGCAGTGAAATGGAAACTTTTGTACTTCATTGACAATTAACAAAGGCTTTGGCAGGAATTGAGGTAGCTCTGGGCTATCATATTGTGTCTTGTTTAACTTTGTGGATGAATATTGCCTTCTAGTCATGTATCTATTCAGTGCAGCAAAACAGGAATAAATAAATCAGATAAAGTCCCGGATGTCTCAAAGTGTTCTATAAATACAGGTGTGATTAGAAATGAACAGAAGAATATTTGGAGTGAGGCTGGGGGCAGTGAGCAGTAAAATGTCATTTTTTGGGGGTAGCTCGGTGCCTGCATGTCTGTCCCAGGGAGCTGCAGCTGCCTGCTGGTGCCGCTGGAGGGAAACCACAGCCCAGCCCTGAGCATGCTCAGGAATTGTCTGCCCTGAGCTGCCAAAATGCTGCCAGACCCAGCAAGAGAGAAGGAAATGCTTGAGAGGTGTTGTGGGGCTGAATCACCCCCCACACTTGGATGGGGGTTGGCAGGGACAAATATGATGATGCTGCTTTTCCCCCCTGTCAGCTAGAGTAGTTTTAAAGCTGTGCCTTTTTCTGGTCTGAAGACTGCTCCAGCCTGGGGATGCTCTGTTCTGAGACAGGGCAGAGGAGCAATGCTGAGAACATCTCAGAGCCTTCCAGAGATTCACAGAATGGTTGGGGTTGGGAGGGACCTCTGGGGATCACCCAGTCCAGCCCACCTGGAGCAGGGGACAAGGGGATGCATCCAGGTGGGTTTGGAACATCCAGAGAAGGAGACTCCACACACCCTCCCTGAGCAGCTGTTCCGGTGCTCTGCCACCTCCATGGAAAGCTCCATGTTGAGGTGAAAATTCCTGAGTTTTAGTGTATGGCTGTTGCTCCTTCTTGCTGGGCACCATAAAAAGAGTCTGGCACCCCTTGGAGTTTTTATGTGCATTGATGAGATCCCCTCTGAGCCTTCTCCAGACTAACCAGGCCCAGCTGTGTCTCCTCATCAGAGATGCTCCAGGCCCTTCATCATCTCCGTGGCCCCTGCTGGATCCTCTCCAGTAGCTCCTTGTCTTTCTTACACAGAGGGGAAAACTTGCTGAGGGTTTTTCTCCCCCGTCACCCAGGACAGTCCATTCCTTTGGCCAGGGAACTCCATTTCTTCATCTCTTACCCTTCAGCAGAGGGATTGCATTGCTGAAGAGCTTTGCAGTCACTGCCCTTGACCAGCTGAGCCCTCCAGACAAGCTCTGAAACACTCCAGTGTCCCACCAGTGTCCCAGCGCTTTGGTTTGGGGTGGGTTTGGGTTTGCTGCTGGTTTCTGGTGCACTGGGAATTGCACTGCAGTGGATCTGGGAATCAATCCCTGCTGTTGGTGGCTGGGGCAGGACAGATGGATGCTAATGGGTCCTGGAGATGGGAGAACTGGATGAGCTTTGGGTCCCTCTCAACCCAAACCCTGCTGTGATCCCATGAGACCTTGAAGAAGAGGGTCCCCAGCAGTCAGGACTGTTCTGTCATCTGGAAATGAATTTGTTGAATTTACAGGAAGGAAAGACAGGGGCAGTTAATTAATTATAAAGAACAGAAAGCGAGAAAACTGTTTCAGAAAAATCTGTATTGCTTTAGGTGCTTATTGGAATTTATGCAAATAATTTATTGGTTGGGGGGACAAAAACCTATCCTGGACACTCCTTGCTGATTTTCAGAAGCAAATGACACATGGCTTACAGATCATGAAGGAAGTAGATACTAACTTTGTGATTGCCCTTGCCTTGCAGTGCTATGACTAGACCTGGAACATTGTAGTGTGTCATTGAACAAACCTTTCCTGCTGGTTTCTTCTCCCGCCAAAAAACTGAGAGGACTCACAAAAGAGATCAAAATCAGCAAAGCAAAATGTTTCATCAGGAAATAGATGAGCCCTGTCTCTGGCTGGCAAAGTGGTTACTGAGGGGGCAAGGGATTTCTTTGATTAACAGAATTTTCTCTGAGTATAACAAGAAACTTTATTTTGCAAGAGTAGTTTCAGAAGGTGCTGCTGCTGGATGGCCTGGAGTGTGAAACGATGCCCTGTATGGAGAAGTGAAGGAAGAGCCATGGCAATAGGACGCTGAATTCCATTTCCATGCTACCTCCACTGGTCAGAGTCAGTAGTGAGTTGTGTTGCTGCTTTCTGATATCAGGCAGTGACCTATAAACCCATTCTGGGAGGTTTGTTGGACCAACAGAAGAACAGAAAAAGATTAATCAAAGGTCATTGCTCCACCAGACTGTTGGAGTGTGGGGAAGTTGTCTGGGGAAGCCCTTTCTGTCCCATTAATGTGGTGTTTTCCTCTCTAGGAGCATCCATCTGACACATTTTTGTCATTATCCAATTTACAACAAAAATAATTGCTGATGAGGCATTGCAGTGCAGCGAGGAGCTCGGAGTTTCCCGGTGCATTGTGTCCATCCCAGCAGGGCATGGCTGGGACACAGGGACGGCCAGCAGTGCCATTCAGGATGTAACTACCTGCTATTGTTCCATACACCTTGTGGGTTCCGTGTGAAATCCGCAGAAAACTGAAATTGTGTTTCTGTCTGTGGAGGAGGAAACGCTCTGCGGCTCCTGGGTGGTCAAGCCTCAGGCAGAGGGATCCCACTGAAACTCCCCAGCTGGGTGGGCCCAGAGCAGGGCTCTCTATTGGATCCAGTCTAGTGGTTTCACCCAAAAAAAACATCCAGGGGCTGTGCCTCAGGGCTGGGGCAGGGCTGGGAGATTAGCTGTTTAATTACTGAGCTGATGCACACTGACAAAGCGAAATCCCGGCAGTCCTTGGCTCAGGGATTATGTCAAAATGAGTTACAAACCGTCAGGATTACTTTGGACAGCTACAGGGGATCCAGATAAACAAGCAGTAAAACAAAAAACCACTTCAGAGCGGCCTGTGTAAATCAACCCATCGCCTGTTCTGTGTAAAGTGCAAATAAACACAGCCCAGACCCTGCTGCTGGATTGTGGCACTGACCCTCCCTTGGCTTCTGTTGGAGTCAGAGGATTTTCTTTAACCAAGGTGGGTAGAAACTGACCCTACTGGAAGGAGCTTTGGATTCTTTTTGACCATTGCGGTTTCCTTCTCTTTCTGGGTGGTGGAGAAGTGGATTTGATTTTCTTGGTGAATCATGTGTTTAGCTCCTGTAGGTCTGAACTTTAAGAGTCTACAGAGTAAAGCCCATGAGATTCTCCATCTGCAGCCCCAGTGGCTGAGAGCTGGGTGAGAGAGGCAGAAGGCAGATGCAGAATTGTTCATTCTCTGCAGTGATCTGCAGGAGGAGCTGGCTGCTGGCTCCTGAGGAGAAAAACCTCTATACCCTCTCAGGTCCTCTCTGTGGTTCCCTCATCCTTGCAGAGACTTGCATTTGCTTTTTGAGCATTTGCTCTGGTTTTCACTGTTCAGCAATGTCTGTTCAGAAGGAATCTGGCAAGACAGAGCAGGACAAAGTGCAGGAGTCTCATGTCTTGAAGCAGACACATGTTCTGCCAAGGCTGTACCTGCAAGGCTGAATTCAGTTTTCATTTGAATCCTTGGGCTCCAAGACTTGGGGCCCAGTCACCTGTAAGGGATTTAAATGCTGACCTCCTCAGCTGCGGGATGTTGTGCCACAAAAGGTGCCCGTGTTTGGTGTTACAGCGGGAGGTGGTGCTGGATGTTGTGCCACAAAAGGTGCCCGTGTTTGGTGTTACAGCGGGAGGCGTTGTCACCCTAGGCGCTCCTGAAAGGAGAGGTTTGAAGCTCGGAGCCGGCTTTAGGAATGCAGTGCCCAAGCACGGGCGATCGGGGCTGTTTTGGGGTCGGTGCCCTCGCAGGAGGAGCGGGATGGGGTCTGGTCCCGGAGCCCGGGCAGAGCCGAGCGATGCTTCCCACAGCGCCCGTTTCAGTGCCCGGAACCGGAGCCAGAAGCGGCCCCTCGGGGCTGCCTTTGACGGGGCGAACACCCAGGGGGAGGCAGCTGCTCTTACTGGGAAGTTCTTTGGCGCTTCCAGCTGGGGAACAGAACGTTCGCAGGGGAATTTCCCTGCCTTTCCCCTTGCCAGAAAACGAGTTCTCACCAACCCCTGTAAAACTTCAAGAGGTTTGAACAACTGTGCGAATGCCGCTCGCCTCCTTCCTCCACACAGGTACACACGAACTTCATTGCTCTGAAAGCCTCACTTTTAGAGGCAAGTGCAGAAACGAGAGCGAAAGCGGCTCTCGGGTGAGGGAGGGAACCGGGAAGCGAAGGCGGAGCCGGTACCGCCGCCGCGGGGAACCGGGAAGGGCTCGGGGCCGGGACGGACCGGGGGGGGAGCGGGATGGAGCGGCGCTGTCACCTCCCCACCCCAAGAGGGGTCTTTCCCAGGGGCCGGTCTATAAAGGCGCTGCGGGCCCGGGGAGCGGCGCGGAGCGGAGGGGCGAGGCGGAGCTGCGGTGAGCGGAGCGGGTCCCCAGGGATGGGATGGGATTAGGGAGGAAAGGGAGCCCTTGGCTGCTTCCCCACCAGCTGTTGCTCCCTCTCAGTGCGGTGGGCTGGGGGTGGTTTCCGTCCCACGTGCCTGGCTCTGCGTGGGTGCGGGGATGCCCACAGCCTCTCGCCCGCAGCGCTATAAGGCTCTGCCCCGTCCCTGCGCTGGGGAGAGCCGGCATCTCCCTCGGAGGAAGGGCTGACTGGGAAGAGAGCAGGCGAGGAAACCCATTCTTTCCCAACAGCCCTTCCCTATCAGCCTTTACCTACCGGCCCTTCCCCATCTCCCTCTGTTCTTACGCTGGCCGGTCGGATTGAGCCTGCCGCTGCAGAGAGCAGCCCCGCCGCAGGCAGCGGCAGCCTCTGAGAACCCTCTCTGTCCCTCCAGGTTTGTGATCCCGGCGCTCGGAAGCCCTCGGTGCGATGCCATCCTGCCATGTGCCCAGTTTGAGGCATCTGTCCAAGGTAAGGGATCTTCTGCTTGTCAGGCTGGGCACGTGGGCTTTGGAAAGGGAGGGTCAACAAGCTCTGGCATTCCGTTCTATCCTGAGCATCTGCGTTTCCGAAAGGTGTTAAAGGTCCTAGGGAGCATGCTTTGTATCTGCTAGTCTGGAAAACTTTCCTTCTGCTTCTTGGGTTGCAAAGGTATCGCTTCCTGCAGTGATGGGGAACTGACTGGGGTGAAACAGGGAAATGTGCTGGAACTGCTCCAAGTTCTGAGCGAGGGAAACTGGGCTCTGAATGCATCACAAATGGGTTTGGGAAGGATGCTCTGTCACCTGACATGGCAAAGGAGGGCAGCACCTGGTGCTTGGGCTGGGACCAGCATAGGGAGGGAGAACAATTTCTTGTCTCTACAACAATAACAAGCTCTGTAACTGCAGCAACCGCGTTTGCTGCTCTCGCCTCTGCTCGAGGATGAGCTCAGGGCTCTTTGCGCTGTCTTTGCCGTAGTGGATGCTCCCCCCTCTCCTCCTTTTGCTGGCTGAGCTCGCCTGCGATGCCCAGCCCACGTACCAGTGGAAGGATGCTGCGACGGGCGAGAGGATCACTTGCCAGCAGTGCCCGCCGGGGACCTTCGTGGCTCAGCACTGCTCCAGGGACAGAGCCACTCTGTGCCAGCCCTGCCCGGATTTGCACTACACTCGGTACTGGAACTACCTGGAGAAGTGCCGCTACTGCAACGTGATCTGCGGGGAGAAGCAGGTGGAGGTGCAGCAGTGCAATGCCACGCACAACCGAGCCTGCCAGTGCCAGCAAGGCTACTACTCCAACATGGAGCTGTGCATCCGCCACTCCGAGTGCCCGCCCGGCACCGGGGCTCTGAGGCCGGGTAAGTAACTCGGGCACTGCTCATCCTCACATGGCGCCTGTCACGCCCCAAAATCTCCGCGGGAGATAAAAATCAAGGATAAATACAGCAGCCAAACGCAGCAGCCAAATGCAGCAGCCAGTGCTTGCCCGTAGCCGGACCGGCTCCCTTTTAGCTCTGCTGCTGGCACAGTGCCGTCCCTGCCAGCTGTTCCTGCTTCTTTTCCAAGGAGGAATTTGGTTGGGTTTTTCCACAGCTATCAATTTGAAATCTTTTGAAATCCCCAGCAGCGCACTCCGATGGGATGTGTCAGTCCCAGCTCCCTGCCTCACCTGCCGCAGCAGGCAGAGCCAGGCTGTGACTTGGCCATGCCTGGAGCAGCCCCTGGCCCTGGGCCACAGGCAGGTTGGATGGTCCAAGCTGCTCCCGAGCATTCATCAGCTCCCTGCTCCTTGCACAGGCAGCCCAGGAGCTGGGAATGCTGATTATCTGGGCTGAAGAAGGTGGCTGATGATGTAAGGGCAGGGCTGAGGAATGTGTGTAGCTCTGGGGCTGGTTTTGTGGTTTTTCAATGAGCACTTTGGAGAGGCTGTGTTGAAAACACACAGTGGACACACAGCCAGGTCACAAATCCACAAAACCAGCTGTGTTTTGACTCCTGAGTCTGAGACTCCATCTCCTTGTGTGATCTAAGTCCCAAGGTATTTTAGGGGATTTATTCTCCTGTTGTTTCCCCTGTACAGATTTCTCTGGTCCTTTAATGGCTCCAAATGTGTGTAAGCTCACCAGTGAGGACCAGGAAACCACAGCAGGGGATGGCAAACCAGGGTGGGCAGCACCAGCAAACCCAGCAGCATCTTGCTGCACATTTTGAAGTAGGGAGGCTTTTGAAGCATGGAGTCTTTTGAAGTCCTTCCATGTGTGGCATGGAAGAGCTCCAGGCTCACCAGCCACAGGGAAAATATCTGTTGCCTTCAGCTGATGTTTATGATTGAGATTTGGGGTTTAATTTTCTATAGAACGTGACAAAATTCAGTAACACAGCAAAGGGGGAAGACCTCCAGGCGGGTTGGCTTTAGGACTGAGAAGCCATGCAAGTGAGTTGGGTATTTGAAGAGAAGCTGGTTTTTTTGGGTTTTTTATTATTATTATTATTTATTTTTTGCAAATGGCTTCTTGTGTGGGGAGGATTGCCCCCCAGCTCAGCTGCCTGAACACCACAGCAAGGACTGAGGGTCCAGTGTGGGGGCAGAGCCCTGGCCCTGCCAGTGCTGGTACTGGGTGGGGAAGGTACCCTGGGGGCTGTAGGCAGAGTTTGCTGCTGTTTGGGGTGGATGAAGGCTTTGATCCTTGTGCAATCCCCCTGGGCAGCCAAACTTCTTTGGGATTTTCCATTTGTAAACAGTGGCTCAGATGTTGGGGGTTATGGCTGGGCCTTTTGGGTGGTCTGGGTTGGAAGGGATCTGAAAGGTGGGAAAGCCTAAAGGCGGTGGCAACAGCATAGAAACTGCTTGTAACTTGATTTGTGAAATTAGTGGGAAATCTCCTGCCCCAGAGCCCTTCCCTCTGCTCCCAGGGAGCGGGAATGCTCTCGGTGCAGCCCTGTCCCTGTGGCACCAGCCCTGTGACACAGTGACACACGGGAGGCGCTGGCCCGGAGCCAGGGCAGCAGCGACAGCGCCGCCAAGGCCAGCTCAGCTTTCACCTCCTCTCAGACTTTTACTTTCACTTGCTCTGGGAGCCAGGGCTGCTCTGGCAGCTCAGCACCAGCCTGGCTGCTGGCTCCTGCCTAGGACGTGGCCCTTTCATAGTGAGATGTCCTCTTGCTGTCCTCTCATGTCTGCGGGCTGCTGACAATTTATCAGCACTGCTGTTTGCCCTGTGTGAGGACACACCGTTCCCAGGGGAAATGCTGGCAGTGATCATTTCCAAAACATCACCCTCATGCTCAGATGGTGTCTGGCATCATCCCCAGCTGCTGCCTCTGCTCCTGTGCCAGCCTGTCACCTGACAGTCCCCTTGTGTCCCCATGCACAGGTACCCCCTTTGAGGACACCCAGTGCCATGACTGCCCCCATGGCTTCTTCTCCTCCAACTCCAGCACCAACCCATGCCAGCCACACCAGAACTGTGAGCAGCAGGGGAAGGTGACCAACGTGAAGGGCAACAGGTACCACGACACCCTGTGCACGTCCTGCAGACCTGGGGGAGGCAACAGCACACAGGGAGCAGGTGAGCCACAGGCACAGTGCCAGGACTGATGCTGCCAGGGTGAGAGCAAACTTCCTCATGACTTTCTCCTAGTTAGATGCAAATGAGGTGAAATGGCTTGTAAAAGCATGGAGTGATCCATAATTAGTAATAATTATGGATGAAATAATCTGTCTTCCTTCATCTCCTTCCAGTGTCAGTCCCATAGAGCAAGGACAGGGTGCTGGGCTTAAGCAACAGTCACTGCACAGTGAGAACAAAGAGCTGACAGTGAAATCCTGCTGGATGTTACCAGGGACAACTGGGAGTGCTGGAACAGGGGATTTTGGCAGCTGAGATACAGCTTGGCACAGCTCCTGCACTCTGTTTTCCTGGCTGCACCTGTTTCCTGGAAACTTTTATGGCAGCCTGGTCTTGTGCAGGTTGAGTGGAGCAGAGCCCAAGGTTCATTGGAGCTGGTGTGGGATGGATTTTAACCTGTCAGGTGTAAAAGCGGAGACGTGGTGTCAGTCATAAAGCCATGGAAGAGCTCAGGTGGGAGGGACTTGGAAAATTTATCTGGTCCAACCTTTAATGGGAAAGTGAGCCTGGATGAGATTATCCATTGCCATGTCCTGAAAATCTGAAAAGCAATGGGGACCTCATCACATCCAGGGGAGGTTTTTCTGGAGTGAAAAATGTCATTCTTTCATCAGGATGAAGCTTGGTAGAAAAGCTTTAATGAAACCCACCCACAGGGTGGTCAGGCACTGGAACAGGCTCCCCAGGGAAGTGGTCATGGCCAAAGCTGTCAGGGGTGTTGTAGGGGTTTTGGGTGGTCTGTGCAGAGGCAGGACTTGGACTCAATGAACCTTGTGGGTCCCTTCCAGCTCAGGACATCCTGTGCCTCTAAAATATTTTCCTGTGTGGTGAGGGAACGTGGAGGCTTCTCCCCGCCCCAGGCAGCTCTCACTTTTCCACACTCTCCTGGCACCACCAGCACGGAGATTTCTCCTTACAAAGCCTGACTCACACCATGAGCTCCCTGCCAGGAGTGTGATCCTGACACAGAGACTGGAAATCTCCGTCAGCAGTGGGATGCAGTCCCGGGGTGGGCATGGCCGGGTCAGAGCAGTGTCAGCAGCACGTGCGTCAGGCACCGGCCCCCGCAGCCGCATCAGCCCTTTGCAGATATTTATAGAGGGAGGAAGCCCCAGCAATGGCAGCTGGAGGCTTTTCTAATTCCAGTTTGTTATGATTGCTTCAGGAGGCACACAGGGATCTTCTCATCATCAAGCCGAGCCTGCCGGGGAGGCAGAGCCGGAGCAGTGGAGCTCAATCCACCCCACTAAAACCAGTGAAACCATTCCCAGTCTGCAGTGGCATGAAACTGGGCTAATCTCTCCCTGATTGAGTAATCCTTTGGCCTTGACCTCTTGAAAATTCTTTCTGTTTTCATTCCTGATGCTGGATGCACTCCAGCAGCTTTCACCAGCTGGGGCTGGATCTGTCCCATCCCAGTGCCCTGATTGGGGCTGTGCTTAGGGCTGGTCCTGTGACAAATCTGTTACAAGTCTGCAGGGGAAAAGAGAAACTCTCAGGAAAAAGAATGTGTAAATAATCACGGCAATTGCATCAGATTTGTCTGGGCTTTTCCTCTATTCCCTGATGGGGAGGAGCATGGAATAGGTACATTGACTTTCTACAGAATTTGTACACCTTGTTTTCCAACTGCCCCGTGCAGGTTGCATCACTGATAGGAATTCAGCCTTCCACTAGAGCAGGTTGTTCCAACACCGATCCAACCTGGCCTTGAACACTTCCAGGCCTGGGGCACTCACCAGCCCTGTGGGCAGATGTCCCACAGAGAGCCGTGGCAGGGCTGTGCCCTGCTGTCCCGTGTCCCTTTAACCCCGGGCTGCTTTCCCCCACCAGCTGCAGATGATGACGACTGCGACCAGGCCATGATAGACTTTGTGGTGTACCAGAACATCCCCGTCAAGAAGCTGAAGCGCCTGCAGCAGATCCTGGAGCGCTCCCCAAAGAAGCAGGCAGCATGGACCAGGGCAGCCATCCAGGAGAAAATCCGGGCTTTCCTCACCCACAAGAAGGAGGAGGACTCTGAAGTCACCAAGGAGCTGCTGGATGCGCTGCGCATGGTCAAGCTCCACTCCATTGAGGAGAAAGTCCGTGAGCGCTTCCTGCGGCGCTGAGAGCAAGGACTGGACTTTTTGGGTGCTCTTTGTTTTGGTTTTTATCTTCTGAGGCTTCATTAATTTATTCATCTTTCCAAACATAACTTGAAAAGCAGCATGAGAGATGAGTGATGGAGTGGCATCGTGCTGTGGCAGCTGTGTCACTGCTGATGATGGGATGGGATGGGATGGGATGGGATGGGATGGGATGGGATGTGTGAGCAGCAGCACCCCCTTGCCAGCTGCTGGGGCAGCTCCTAGGAGCTCACCAGGTGTTGGCCATGGATTGTCCAGCCCTCACCAAGAGTCAATATTTTATCATGAGAAAAACCTGCATCCAAGGTCATTATTTCTGGGGAAGAACAAGGTTCCCTTTGTAGAAAAGGGTTTGGCTTTGTTTTAAACTGTGTAAGTTTGGGCTTGTTGGGAGTTTTAGTCATTTAACAGTATTTCCCATGGAGGATTTGCTTGTGATTTTTATCATGCTTTTGTTTGAGAAGAGAGTTTGCTGCTGAGGCACAGGAAGGGGGAGGATGCCCCAAACTCAGTGGCACAGCTAGTTTGAAATTTATTTCTCAACTACCTGTTTTTATACCATGTATGAAAGATGTTTTCTAAAGAAAGAAACCAAAGAAGTTATTTTATCATACACCTCTCTGTCACCCAAGTCCTTTCCTAAGTCTCACCTGGAGGTGGTGCTGGGAGACCCAGACCATCATATCTGACCCTGGATATTGTCTGTTTTCCCCACATGTTGGCATCTCTGCCCATGGCAGGGCATTGGAACAAGGTGATCTTGGAGATCCCTTCCAACCTAAACCATTCTGGGATTCTGTGATCACCCAGCCCCAGCCCTGAGCCACGGTGAGGCTGTGTGCCAGCAGGATTCAGACAGTTTGCACTGGGATTTGTGGCCAGGGTGACTCACAGCCCAGCTGTGTCCCCCTGAGCCCCAGCTCTGTCCCCAAACCTGGCTGTGTGCTCAGTGAGCTGGGCTTGGGACAGTTCTGCTGACTGCAGGAAGTTTTTATAAACAGATGTTGCTTAGGGAAGTCAACAAAACTGATCCTCTCTGGCATTTTCCAGCCTGTAGCAATGATGACGCAGAGCTACATTTTATGCTGTGAATGAGTTTGACTTTTTATAGCTCTTTTCCTGTGGAGCAGATGCCAGGAATAGTTTGTGGTTCAGAAGATGATGTTTTCCCCCAGTTTAAAGCTCTCTGAAGTGAGTGCTACCTGGAAGTGCCCCCACACTTCCTCTGTGCCAGGAAGCTGAGGGGGAAGAAGGGAATTTTACCCTCCCCTCACTGCCCACAGACACATCCCAGGCTCTTCTTGCTGCAGTGACAAGTTAATCCACGGCAGTCTGGATGACAGGGAATGATCTCAAGGGGCAGTGCTTGCCTCTTCACTGCTCCAGAGCTTGGGAGTCCCTGGATGTGTGCTCACACCTGCCTGGCACCACAGGCTTGAACTGAGGATCCCAGGCTTGAACTGGGATCCCAAACTTGCAATGTCTCACCCCATTTTTGGGCTCTGAGGATGAAGCAGCTCAGTGACCCTGGCATTGTCCTGGGTTGATTCAGCCAGGGAAGAAGAGAAGCAAATGGCTGAAAAGCAGCTGAGGGGAGCCCTCACCCCTCTATATTGAGCCTGGTCTGACCCTGGGAATCCCCTCAGTCCTGGCAATCTCCTTGAAGCTTCACCAAGCCTGGCCTTGAAATCCTGCCAAGGAGCTTACAGGGGACCAGAACTCCCCTTCCCAATGCTCAGTTTTTACTCCTTCTGATTTCTGCCCTCCCAAGCTGCTTTATCCCAGTGGGATACAGCTCAGTCTCTGAGCATCACTTTCTCCGAGTCCCTTGGCAGGAGCCAAGTGCCTCTGCAGGGTCTGAGAGCAGCGGGGGCAGGACATGAGGAGGGTTTCCACCAGAGCACAGTGAGAACTGGAGCTCAGCTGCAGCACTTTGCTCCAAGGCAGAGTGCAAGGCAGGACAGCCAGTGCTGATGGGTTGAAGGCTGGAGCAGCCGAGCGTTGGCTGCAGCTCCTTGAGGGATTCCCAGCCTGCTGCATTGCAGTTATCCTGACTCAGCACAAAGCATTTGGAGCCCTTGGTCTGAAGGGGAACAGGAATGGAGAGCTCTTAGTGCAGGAACTGCCTCCCACACTGAATGAGGGTCCACCATGTCCAGCCCTCCTTAGGGCACCATGTCTGGCTCCCTTGTTCCTTGGCAGGCTGCAGTGGGGACCACAGAGCTCAGCTCAGTGAAGCAGGAGAGGGGGATTAAATAATGAGATGGGCCAGCCTGTGTGAGAGAGCTCTGCACCCACTGCCAGCTTCCCCTGCCACCAGGCACTGCAGCACCAAGGAACAGGCAGGGGATGATGCCCTGTGCCACCAGCTCGGTGCCACGAGCCTGATTGCTCTGCCAGGGTATCTCCTGAACACCCATATCATGTTCTGTTCTGGGGATTTGGAGCCTCTCCTCAGTCTCCTCCCAATCCTGTTCCCCTCATTGCCAAGTTAGCTGGAATTTCTGCACAGGGAATTTTCTTCTCACATGGGCTCGTAGGCAGGGTGACTGAGGAAGATCTTTCTGATAAATATTAACCTTTATAAGTGTGGCCAAACAGCCTGGCATGTGAGTCCTGCTGGGCTTTCAGGAACTAGGCTTTGCTGAAAAACCCAGGATGGGTACTGCACAGAGCCCTCTCAAACCACCTGTGGCTTCATCACAAGGTATTTCACCTTTTCAGCTAATTAACATTAAGAGGATGAAAATCCCTTTTGGTTTCCCCTGAAGTTTCCAAAGCACAGAGAGAGAAGAGGAAGAGTTGGCAGCGTGAGCTTTTTCCTGATGGTTTAAGACTCTTTCCTCATAAACTGTGGCAGAGGAGAGCACACAGTAAGATCTAAAAGTAGATGCAGTGATATCCCAGGATGACTCAGATATTTAGTACATAGAAGATAATTTTCCAAATGCTACAAGCACTATATAAAAAGCCAAGCCCGTGCTGCTCTCCACGTCAGGATTCCCCCTGCTGTTAGATGCTTAAACCCAGATAAAATCCCACAAATCCACTGGCTGGTTTAAAGTGCTGAAATGGGTTAGGTCAGTGCCATGGGCTCCTTGGCCACCTGTAACCACAGCCAGGTGTGGCAATGACTCAGGCTGGTGGTGGTGATGCCTCAAACCCTGGAGGATTGGCAGCAGGAGCTGACATGCTCCCAACCTGCTCGGTGCAGGAGCAGTTGGGACACGTCTCTCCTCATCCCAGGAGAGCTGGGCCAGCTGTAAAGATTGGAATGAGGTCAGGGAATTACTAACGTGAATGGAAGGAGTCAGAGGGAGTTTTTCTGGTGAGTTCACACATAGCTGGCTCATGCCAGGGGTGGAGATCCAGGATTGATAGAGGAAACAAAGCAGGGGAAATTCTGAGGTGTGCAGAGAGCTGTGAGGGGATGAAACCAGGGCAAGTGCACAATTCATCTTGTTGAAACAGCCTGCAGCCCTCTTGGCCTGAGGCTGCCAACTTGTCACGCACAAGACAGGTAAATTCAATCTTCTGCCTGCAAATTTTGCCACCCTCCCATGTTGTTCAGTAGCTGACAAAGGGCTGAGACCTCCAGGCTCTGTGGGAGTGTGCTCAGGGACTGCTAATGCACACAAAACTTGTTTGCATTCTCCCATCATTATCCAGAGGTGCAAATTTTATCTTATTTTGAAGCACACTTCTGTTTTCCTCCTGATGGTAACATTTTCCTTTCCGGCTGTAAATCTGTGTGATGTGTCCAGGCTGTCCCTGCTGGGACTCATCCTTCACAGCAGTCACTCAACAGAGGGACCAAATTTCCTGGTGCCAGGGCCAGAGGGGGACAGTGCCAGCCCTGTTGGAGAAGCAGAGGTGAGCCTGAGGAAGTCAATCCTGCCCTAGAGCAGGAGCAGAGGGGGCTGAGATGTGCAGGGCATTGAACAGAGATGTTGGGACATCTTTTCCCACAGGGTCTCACCTGATTCCCTGCCCTCATTTCTACCCCTCCTCAATTTATAATTTTTATTCCTTTCTGTGTTCAAGGAGCTTCCTAAGAATGGAAAGTCTACAAAAGCAAGAGAAGGCACAGCAGGTGACCTGTCCCAGATGGAGCCAGGGGGACACAGGGGAACTGAGGAGCCCCAGGATGAGTCGGTGTCACTTTGGCCAGGTGAGGAGATGGGACGGGTGCTCTTGGGCTGAGTGGCACTCACACCATGGATCTGCATCCAGAGCTGGGTGAAACTCTGCCTGCTGAGCACATACCATGTATTTTTTAATGGAAAGAGAATTTTTGCCTCACATTGAGCAAAACTAGAATCTGACTGATAAACCCTTCCAATGAAACTATGAAAACCTCCATGAAAAAGACCAATAAAAAGAAACAGTTTGGTTTGTCAGTATAGTCCTCTTAAAGAAGCTCAAACACATTTTGGGGGCCTGATGACCTTACAAGTGTTGCTGGAGGGTCACCAGTTTAGAGCTGTGTCTGGCCTTGGGGTGCAGGAGGGGCTGGGGGGTGACTCCCCACCCTCACCTCACTGTCCAGCTGCTTGTGTTGGTCCCCAAAAGGCCTTTTTGTCCCCCTTGCAAAACAGCAGAAGTGGAACTGTGGTTAAGTCCAGATTTATGGTTCTCTCCCTGACTCAGGATCCGTTCCCAGACTCAGGATCCAGCCCCTGACTCTGCTGGTGGTGGAGAAAATCCTGTTAAATCCAGGTAATGGCACCAAACCCCTCTGGGACAGCTGGAAACCAGCACTGGAAATGGGAACCATGGAAATTGTGGCCAGGGAGGGTGATCCTGGGGTGGAAATTCAGTTGCTGTCTGTTTTTAGGAGGAGAACGAGAGTGGGAGATGGTTTGGACTCTGCTGAGGAGAAAGTTGAAATCTCTTAGGTTACAGCAATGCTGGCAAAGCAGTCCCTGGGTGGGGGTTTATATGGAATTAATAGGATTTTGATGATGCTTGCAAAGTTTCTTGAGGCTTAGATGCAAAACCAGATTAAAGATGAACAATTGGCATTGTGAGCGTCACAAACCTGTAATTGAGTATAACTCAAATAAAAGTTACTGTTCAGGCCTAACCTAACAGTCCCTTCCAGCTCAAACTGTTCTGTGTTTCTAAGAAAGGGGATGATTTTCCCAGCTTCCACAATACCAAAGGTGTTGAGATGTCTTTGGAGTAATCACCTTTAAAAAAAGCAAATTATTATGCTGAGTAAGCTGAGAACAGATGACAGTACCTTTTATCACCATCTCCCAGAGGAAATTCAATTACTCAAGAATAATTAGTGCTCAAAAGGCTAGTTCATACAATACTGTAGTGCTGAATCAACCATTTCAAAGGCAGCTAAAGAAGTACTAACATGTAATTGTCTTTTTTAAGAAAAACTTGGACTTGGTTTCTTGTGGTAGTTACAGGGCACAGTGGTAGTACAGAGGTAGTTACAGAGCACAGTGCTGGAGTTTTCACTTCTTCCTAGAGTTTGCTTCCAAGCAAGTGTTGGGACACCACTTGCCCTTCATGGGACAGCTTGGTTTTGCCCTGGGAGGATTAAAGGGTCACTTACAGGGGCAGCACTGGCCTTTGCTCTCTGGTGAGCAGTGACAGGAGCTGAGGGAATGGCTGGAGCTGTGTTAAGGGAGGTTTAGGCTGGATTTTAGGAAAAGATCTTTCTCCCAGAGGGTGGTTGGGCATTAGAACCGGCTCCCCAGGCAGTGGTCACAGCCCAAAGCCTGAACCAGAGCTCAAAGACCATTTGGACAATGCTCTCAGGCACAGGGTGGGGTTTTGGTATGTCCTGTGTGCGGCCAGGAGTTGGACCAATGATCCTTGTGGGTCCCTCCCAACTCAGGATGTTCTGTGATTCTGTTTGGTCAGACATTGCTTGGCTCCCCTGACCTTGCTCACAAGGTACGTGGGCTCTAGTGATCAGGTCTGGGCACTGCCTGCTCTGAGCTCAATAAAATTTGAATTTATTAATAAAGGTGTCCTTTAACTTAAGGGTTTTCTCAGTAACAAAGCCATGGCTACAACTACAATACCCATGCACAACACTCTCCCTGTCTAGAACCAGGAACCTTTGACGTGTTATTGTCTGATTCAACAGGAGTCTTCCCTCAGCAACTCTTTGTTTACTTGGAAAACAATTATAATTGCACAATGTTTAGGGAAAAAGGGCAGAAAACCCCCTGTGTCCAAGTGACTAAGCAGCATTGGGGATCCCAGACCTCACAGTGCCATGTGGGGGTGGGGAGAACTGAGGTTGGTGTCCTTTGTCATTGTTCATCCAAGCATCATCCCGGGCCACCCCAGTGCCCCAGGATCCTGTGGCATGGAAATGAGCTGTCAAAATTTCCATCATGCTGAGGGTGTGGGGACAGCCCTGGGAAAGCTTAATTCTTGCCATGTGGGATTGGTTGGTTTTGGGGTTTGTCCTTTCCAGGAGGCTACAGCTGCCTTTGCCCCCACTGTTGTCTCTGCTGGTGGTCAGGACTGGGGGTTTCATGTGTAATGCCAATATCTTGGTTAAAAATCATTCTTGTTTTTGTCAGAGGAGCAAAATCTTTCAACAGGGCAGGATACACCCCAGTATGCCCCAGGTCCTCTGGCAGAAGAGCCCATCTGAAAGCCCTTGGTCACCAAACCCAGCAAAAGCCCAGCATGGAGCTGATGATCCCTGTTGGCCTCTCCCAACTCAGGATATTTAATAATTCTCTGAAACACTGAGCTGCCCATACATTCCTCTGCCTGTTACAGGCAGTGAGGAGGTGCTGTGCCTTACACCAGCTTCTGGGAACAGCAAATTGCTTATTCCTCCTTATGACTGCCTTATAGAATGTTTTTATTCTTTGTGGGAATCTGACTCAAGAAGGAAAAAAAAATCTAATGAAAATCTCTAATGAAATAGTATCAGGTTTTCTGATTTCTGAGAATTGGCAGAGGAATTCCTGGCTATGAACTGAACTGCAATGCAACAGAAACAACTCCAGAGGTTCCTGTTTCAGGAAAACACTTAAGAATACACTTAATTTTCAAGTCAATTTAGTTTGCCCTCAGAGTAGTGCTGCTGGTATGTGCTGAATACAGATGGCTTAAGGCTGCATAGTTCCTCCAAATGTTTAGCATGAAACGCATTCAGCTGGAGGATATATTCTGCAAATGATGAAGAATCACAAAATCCCAGAATTCCAGCTTGGGACTGACCTCAAGGATCATCCAATCCAACCTTTCTTGGCAAAAGCATAGCCTAGACAAGTGGGCCAAGCACAAAAAGAAGTTACTAGTCATGAATTAGCAGTGTTAGTGAGAATACTACATATTGGTGCAGAAGGGTTTTGTTTCAAGAAAAGGATCCTGTGTGTTCTGAAGTGAATGTATCCACTGCCTCAGCTTCAAAGCTACCTTGGGTAACACGTGGGAAAGGTGGGACTGCACAGAGCCTCAAGAGAGATGTGAGGAATGTGATACTCAAGAGGACTCTCTTAACAACACAGGAATTTTGAAACTTCATTTGGCATCAGCAGCTGGAAGGAAGAAGTGCAACCAAGAAGCAATGAGGATTCCTGCCCCCTGATTTTGTGTTTAAAAAAAAAGTCAGGCAGAATTCCAGCACTGTGTAGTTGGAACTACCAATGTTCCTCCTCTCCTTTCTTCCGGCTGACGAGCATCTCATTTATGGAAAACCTTTAGGTAATTTTTTCCCCCAGTGCTAGTGCACACCGTGCTATCCATGTCTTCTGCACCTGATGTGTGTCATTTTCCATGAGGTCTGATTCTTTTTAGTACTAGTTTGTTGCTCTACCAGGAATTTTAGGCATCACTCCCTTCTGATGTAATGGATGAACGCTTGTGATCGGAAGTAATTTGTGCAGATGAAGTGATTTGAGAGCAGACACTGCTGAGAGCTGGGACTAGGTCATCATGAAGGCAGTCTGGGAATAAAAAAAGCTTGAGTGTGTGTAAAGAAATGAATGGAAAGCCCCCAGGAGTTGTCATGGAAGCTGGTTTTACCAGAGGAGCAGAGAAACAACTCCCTTAGGGATTGCAGAAGCACAAAGAACAAAACTCAAGGATAAAGTTTCAGGAAATGCCCAAGGTCAAGTAAACAATAACGTGTTATCCACCAGGAATGTTTCACATGGGATTTCCAGGTGCTATAAAATTCCAGTGTAAAAAGCACCTGCTCCAATTTTTTAGCATCCATTGTAAGAACTCAGAGGAGGGGAAAGGCTCTTGGCACCTCACCACTCCCCCTGATCTCTCAGGAGAGAAATTAGAGTAAAAAACTGCCAGGAGGGAATTATGAGAGGTCACCCAGCCTAGAACCTGTCTGCATGGCAGGGGAAATTCAGCTTGTTTTCATTAATTGTTCAAATTGGTCTTGGGAAATCTATAGACAAATAGTCAGGAGTCTGAAAACAGGCCCAAAGGTGAAGGCAAACTGAGCCTGTGGTGCTGCTTTGGGCAAAAGCTGAGGAGCAGCAGCAGAGCTGGACATGGAGGCAGGATTCACTGTCCTTGATGTGTGGACACTGCTGGTTGTGTGCCAGGAATTACCACCCACATTAAGCAGATTTTTTGATTTAAAGGGATATTTGTCAAGTGCACTGACAGCACCACTCAGTCTTTATAAGTTCTCTCCTTGACACCATTTGCCAGGAGAGACAGATCCCAGGACTGTGTTAAAAATCCAGGGAAATACTAGATCAATTCAGAACCCTCCAAAAGTACTTTAAGGCAGGATTCTAGCTGAGCCTTACATTTCCAGATCTGTACTACCAGCTCAGAGTCAGTTAATCAAGAACACTTCTGGAAATCATGACTAATCCAACAACCTCATATACAGCTAAAACATCACTGCTGGAGACACTCATAAAGATTGTGATCTGTCTTGTATCAGCAGATTCTCTAAAAAAAACTGCTGGATTTGCTGGCTGTGTCAGCAGTACACAAGCAGGATGGTAAGGAAGAAGAGACTAAACATAGCTCAGTTAGCAATAAAACCATCCTACAGCACTGGATATTAAGTCCACTTCATGATGATGGCTTGATTTCAGTTTGTCAGAGTAGGAAGGATGGCCAGGGCTTCTGTTTGCTCCATTTTCTGAGAAAGATGTTAGCAGCCAGAGACTGGACTAAGATGCTGGACTTACTCTGAAGCTGGGTCTGATTTGTCTTGGCATTCTCCATGGTTCTGTGGAACAGAATGTTGTGGCAAGAGGGATGAGCTGTGACCTCAGCACCACTGCAACACACATGTCCCTGTGGGACAGGACAGGGTCAGACCAGCCAAAAGCAGTCACTCTGCATCCTTCCAGAACTCCACATGAAGATGGAATTGCCAGCACACAGGCAGCACTGGGACTCAAAGAAATGCTTCAGAAGTGGTTTTTCAGCTCTTGTCTCTTGCTGCTACCAGTTATTGAATGTTAGCATAGGAAATTCCAGATGGGTGAGAGAATTCCAAACGGGTGAGAGAAATGTAATCATCTGTCCATGCTCAAATAAGGCAAGTGGGATCCTCTGCTGAAGTTATTGAACTCTTACCTTTATCTCATGGACAGCATGCCAAAGGGAAGAGGGATTGCAAAGCTGTTCTGGTTTGACATTGGCACAAGGCCAAATGCCCACATGAAAATACACCTTCTCTGGTGTCTGCTGTGAGATTTTGACCAGGAATAAACAAAGCAGGCTCTCACTTGAAAAA